CCTTGATGTGAAGTCTTCTGAACTTTAGGTGCATGAACTTGTGAATTTAGCCATGGCTAGATTTAGATTTGATATTTAAGTAAGAATTGGGCTCATAATGCACCTTAAGATGAAATCAAACAATGAACCCAAAAAATAATTTCACCTCCAAAGAAACAAAAGCTTTGAAATCTAACAGCTCGCTTCTAATTTACCAAGGAAATACCAAAGTGTCAAACTGGAAACTTTTGAACCTGTAAAACTAAATACTGGAGGATAAGAGGCTTATGATTACTAATAGGCCAACGCCAACCTTTGATGTGAATATTGAATGGAAATCTCGATACTTTTAATAGAATCTCAAATTGAAACGAGGAAGTTGACTCGTGCGAATTAGCTTGAAATAGAAATAAACCGGTGTAGTGACGTCCTTATTTGTTGTCCACACAGTCACGTCCCTGGGATGCCTCGCTTGTAAGAATCAATACCCTGTCACTACTGCACTTGCATAAGTTGGTTAGCCGCAAAGGATTAAGTTAAAGTCAAATAACAAAATAAAATGCGCAAGAAGAGGTGGGATCTTGCGGTCAAAAATTAGGGTGCGACACATTAAACATTATATGCTGGATTAATTTTGTTCAATAAAAAATATAGTTACAGCAAATGTTGGATAAGTTTTAAAAAGACAAAATTGACATAATATTATCTAATCAAATGATGAAGCTAAGGACTTTGTTTGTAAGTGACATTATATTTAAAAAATAAAATAATTTTCAAGTAATAATGAACTATAACTACTGCAATATTTGGAAAATTTTTAATAGAAATAATATTCAAATGATATTGTGAAGTATTTTATGCCATTTTTGTTAGAATTTTTGTATAACACTTGTAACCCTGTCAGACTTATGGAATATAAAGCCAATATAATTGTTGGCAAAATAAAAAGTGCATATAATTGCGTTACAAATCTAACTAAGTTTAGTACTGACTAAGTTTATTGCAAATCTACAATAAAGTTAAAGTTTATCATATCAAAGTTAGTACTAACTAAGTTTGTTAGTATCATGTTAAGGTTTTCAAAGTATTCAGAAGGGGATTCGTCGGTTAACCCATTTGCATTCAATTTGTCTAAAACTTAGTGCAAACACACGCTTTAAAATTTATTTTGTGCAACATTCATCGTACCTTTTTCATATTCTTCTTATTCATGTTTTACAGCAAACCTCCAACACAAAATCTATTATTCCATTCTATTGCTAAAATTATAAATAAATAAAAATTGTCATGCAATAATTATGCATATAAATTAAATAAAAATTAAGGTTCAAATAAATAGAATGTTGCAACAACAAAAATTGCCTGATTTTTTTTATAAGTCAAGTATAATATTAGAGAAGGAGATTCTAGGTAGAAACTTTGTGATTGTATAATTTAGGATTGTAGAAACATAGAATAGAAATTGATGATTCTTGATATATTGTCATACTTTCATCCATTATACCATGGTGTTATAATGTTGTGTTGTTGTGTTGTGGTTATTGATTATAAATATGATAAACTTGATGATTGAGGGATTAATTATGTAAATGTATTAAAATGTTTTTTTAATTATTGGATAATTATTCTCTGTTAAATTTTGAGATCGAGGCTTTTTACAGAATCGAAATCAGAGGTCCGGAAGACCTCCAACGGTGAAAAACTAAGTTTTAGGCTAAAAACACGCAGTATGCGTCGACCTGCAGAACCTATGCATTAACCCAGGGCCGACGCATGCAAAACAGTCAATTTCAAAACTTTTTCCAACAGTATGCATCGACCGAGACGCTTTATGCATCGACGCATAGCCTCCAAAATGTTTTGCTAACGATTTCGGTCATAACTTTTGAACCGTAACTCCGTTTGACGCGCGGTCGGAAGCGTTGGAAAACTCTTCCAATGCTCTATAAGATGATAAGTTGGAACTTGTAATTATAACCATTATGGGTAAGGGTAGACATGTATTAAAAAATATGTTATAATCCATATTATGATATATATGCTCTGAATTATAGTTGTGTTGGTGATGCATATTTTCTATCCATGAATTATTGTTGGTATATGTATACATTTAATAATAATAGTAGAAATTCATAGGGAATGGTGAGGAAGCCCTTATGTCAATTAATGAGATGAGCTAGTGATGTAATTAAGAAATGATAAGAGACGTTAGAAATGCTTGAAATGGATATTACAATGAGTCCCATAGGAAGTAGTGATAGAGAGACTTGAGATATGTGAGTCCTATGGGAAGTATACAAGTAGAACGATTGAAATGAGTATTTCATTGAGTCTCATAAGAAGTGATAACCCTTAGGCTTGAGATGGGTATCACACCGAGTCCCATGGAGGCAAAGGTAAGTTGTTGATTAGTGTTATACTGTGAGTTATTGAACTCAAGTAACCTATCTCCACATAGTGTGAGATTGTGAACTCAAAGTCTCATCTCTTCCCTTTTTGACTTGAGTTAGATTTTGGTTAGAATCTTGTAAAGTCGAGAGAATCCATAAGATATAGAATCCATTGGGACTATTATCTCACCCCACGTTGTTGATTATGTTTCAGGTGCTTTAGGTCCCATGAAGGGTAATGATAAGGCCGTTTGATATCCTTATTTGTGTTTTTTTTTTGATGACATAGTTTCTGCTGTGAAGATTTCGTTTTGAGTTTATTTGACATGATCTAGTTCTTAGTGTTTTGGAGTATCTTGTGTATATTATGCCATTGTTTTTTAGGTTTTATGTATTGGCATGTAATGTATGAAATGTACTATTAAAAATTTATGTGTATTTCAGTACGAAACTTGAATTCATGTATAACATATATCTTCTAGACATATATTTTTATATATGAGTGTTACAATTGGTTTTAGGGGATACCACAACCATTATACAACCAACATATATGTTAGGTTACACCTTCTGTTACAAAAAATTAAAGGGGAACAAATATCATTCATAAAAATTACAACACATTTTTACCTTAAAAAAGTTTAAAACCCACCACTGAAAAAAGAATTTGATTCTCAACACTATAGACTCCGAATCGTCTACAATGTCAATGTCGTTAACAAGTTAAGAGGATATTGTATTTTTGTCATAATTTATTAATATTTTCGTAAAAAAATATATTTGTGTTATTACTATTAATTTATTAAAATATAATATAAATTCATAACTTATTAAAATATAATATAAATTCATGTATTCTAATCCTAATCTCCAATCTTTTATTGTTACTCACATTACTCTCCTCAATTCAATTGTTAATATTATAAAAAAAAAGTTGTTATACAATAATTGGACATAGAAATTAAATTTAAAAATTAAATTTTAAATAAAAGATTAAAATGTTGCAAACAAAATTTTTGCTTGAGAATCAAAGACTTTTTGTATCCTGACAAGATAAGAGGACATTTTATCATCATTTTCATTAAAAAAATAATAATTGCGTTATTACTATTAATTAAGTTAAATTATAATATATATTCAATTACTCTAATCTTATTCTCTAATATTTTCTATAATTTACATCACTCTCATCCTTTCAATCGATGAAATACTAAAAAAATATTTATAAATAATTGTGGATATAAATTAAATTTAAAAATTAAAAATTAAAAATTATATAATGAATTAGAATGTTGCCAAAAAAATAAATTTGGTAGAGAATAAAAAAAATAAAAAATTTTGTCACAAATTTATTACCATTTTCGTGAAAGAATATAATTGTGTCATTACTATTTACTCCCTCCATTTCTATTTATAAGCAAATTTTAACATTTTAGATTCATTATGTAATTAATGCACCCAATCTATATATAGTTCAAATACATCATTTATTGAATGAATCTAGGAAGTCAAAATTTGCTTATAAAAGAGAATGGAGGGAGTACTTGGTTAAGGACAATATAAATTCACAAATTCTTCTCCGATCTTTTCTATTTCTAGCATCACTCTCCACCGTTTAATTGATAAAATTATAAAAAATTCTTATACAATAATTATGCATTTAAATTAAATTTAAAAATTAAAAATTATATAAAAGATAAGAATGTTATAAAAAAAAACTAATTTATTTGAGGACGAAGACCTTTTTGTATCATGACAAATTAATAGGAAATTTTACTTTTGTCACAAATTTATCACCATTTTCGTGAAAGATAGGGCTGGCAATGAACCAAACCAACTCGAAGATAGTTCGGAATTCGACTCGACAATTAAATCGTTGAACTAGGTTCATGAACCAAATGAGTTGAGTATGAGCGAAAAATTAAGTTCGTTAACTAAATGAGCTGAACTTGAACTATACATAGTTCGACTCGTTAGGTTCATGAGTCAACTCGATTACATATGAAAAGAATTATACTGTCTTCAAGATTAGGTTTAAATATTTACTTCAAATCTTAGACAAATTTAATCTTCAATTTAGTAGTTTTGAATTAGACTCTCAAATGTATCTCTTGAAAGTTGTGTAGGTTTTGAATTAGTAGATTTCGAAGATAAAAAATTTCAATATGATAACTTTTATTTTATTTTAATATTTTATTTAAAATATATATATTTATTTAAAATGTCAAATATACTAAAAAATATATATATTTAAAAAAATAGTTTTTAAGTTCGTGAACCATGTGAGCTGAACCTAATGAGATGAACCTAACGAGTCGAACCGAACTGTTCGTGAACTTATAACGAGTCGAGTTTGAGCTTAAAAAAAAGTTCGTGTCAAACTCAAACTCGAACTCGAATTCGAACAATTCTAAACGAGTCGAGCCGAGCTAAGGTGAGTTCGACTCGACTCGACTCATTTCCAGCCCTAGTGAAAGAAAATAATTGCATATTTACTATTAATTAGGTCAAATACCATATAAATCACTTATTCAAATCCTAGTCTCTTCTTTTGTATTACTAACATCACTACCTCCCTACAATTGATGACATTATCAAAAATTTGTAATACAATAATTTGTAAACAATTTCTTAATCTTCTGTAATAGGGTGCACCGAAGTCTCAATGGTTTCATTATCAAAGACACTCTTACCATTGATCTGATCAAGTACCAAAATCAATCCCATAATAAAAGAAGCATCATAATCAGGTTGAACACACAGCACAAACACTTCTTTTCCAAGCATAACACTAGTAGCGGGGTCCACCTTGCGACGAATCTCAGCCACTAATTTTTTTCTAGTGTTGAAAATCTTACAAGATCGTTGCGAGAAACACCCTTCAATGAGGTACAACATACTTGGATCATCTTGTATCTTCACTATTACATTTGTTCGTGACCGTCCGATTATTGACAATCTTCTTAAATTGAAAATTGGTTTATCACCCTTCTTTCTGTCATCTTTAAAACCTTCCCATCGACGATGTAGACTTAATTTCTGATTAACAAACAATTCACATTAAAAAAATACTTGCAATTGAGTCGTATTAGGAAGATTCTAAAGTCACATATTGGTTGGAGATTGAGCATTGAAATAGTTTATACAGAGTGACACCCCTCACCTTACAAATTGATTTTGTAAGGTTGTGTTATGCCAAAGTTTAATAAGTCGGAGTAGACTCACTGAGTGAACTCAGAAGCAGATGAGAATGCAAGTGTAGAAAAGAAATAATGGCTTTAACAGTGGGTAGATAACATACCTTTCGGCGCAAAGTGAGAAGAGAACGGCCATGAGGATTCATGAGAACAAGTTGTTCCTTATCACGAGTGTTAGGTCCGTATGAGTCGAATCGGAAAACGAGTTGTCCCTTACAATCGTACGCAACAAAGCCATCACCGGTGAAGAACTGAGAGGTTTTCAGAACAGTGAGTCGTGTCTCTTCTTTGTATACATACTCATCTTGAATAACTAACTCTTCATTATTCATTATTTTCTTCTTCAGAAAATATTTATACCTTTTGTTTATGGTTATTACTGAATATGTATGAAGAATTTGGAAATGAAAGATGGTGAGAGGAATTGAAATAAAGTAATATTATATAGAAGAACTTTTGAGATCTGCTTTTAATTTATGTGCTGTAACGAGTTTTGTGGCTTCGTATTAAGCGTGTTTTTTTCCGACATGAAAAGGAGTATTGATTGCAACTATTACTAATGGGGATTGGTTACAGCATCACTTTCCATTAATTCATTTAGGACATTCTTAAATTTTTTTTTTTAAAAGTAATTCAAGTGATTTATTTGAAATTCATTTATTTTAAATCTTTTTTGTTTAGATGGAATATTAAAAAGATTCATTGTTAAATTTTTGGGGTCATTTTCATAAATTATAAAACTTTTAAGCCATATTTAAAATATGAAAAATAGGGATTAATTTTTACTAAATTTGAAAGGACTAATTTGAAATTTTTTAGGGATTTATTTACAATTTTTTGAATATTTGGGGCGAATTTGAATTTTTTTATAAAATATGAAGATCAACTTGCAAATTTTGAAAAATCAATAATAAATAATTTAACATTCACATTATATATACTGAATGAGCAATTTCAAATTATTTACTTTCAGTGTCATTAGAAATTTCTTAAATTTAACTTGAATAAAATATTTCATAAATTTACATCATTTTATGAATTTTTCATATTTTTATCTAAATGATGGATTTTGGTCAAGTCACTTTAAATTCCCTAAAAAATTACTTTTCCTCATTAAAATGCATCATCCAAACACACTCTTACAGGTAGAAAGTGAAAGTGTGGTGACCAGAATGTTTCGTCATCTTGAAGAAACCCCACATTTACTTACTTCTTTTTCTGACTCTTGCTCTCACTTTGATCTACTGCCCTTATGGAGGTTCCAATCATTTCTTAGAATTGTCTCATTGATAACCATATTCCTCCAAAGTTTATTCAGCCCTAATCTAACCTTAGTACTCTGGAACAACAAAAATCGTTTGCAGAAGCCGTAAGCAACTTGTGTGATATACCATTAAGCCAACTCCCATAGCCTTGTGTTAAAGGAGACATGATAACTATTTATATTCTTGAACATGAATACTAGCTCGAGTTAAAAGCATGCAAACATAACCTACATCGAAGAGACATCAGGCCTAAAATGACTTATCCTCTATCAATAGTTGTCTTGAAATATAAGTTATCTACTTTTGAAAATCAATGGGTAAGTGAGACATTACTTCTTTGGGCATAGGATATAACAAGTTTTCTATTTCCACCATAAAAGATGTTCATAGGGTTAGGTCAGTTAACTTATGGAACATGAATCCAGATTTTCTCAAACTTTTCCCCCAAAGCAAAGATTTTAGCCCTTCTAGTCTCAAATAATCTTCTGCACAGGTATGGATTAGAATCATTGTTCTTTTACAAGAATGTTGGAGGCCACAGATTCTATTTTTGATTCCTAGTAGCGTTGGAACTACTTTATGCACTAATGCTGCTATGAACACGCCATGCTTTGATTAACCCTTTTGGGCATTATGTTAGAGTTTTTGTAGATTTGGAAATCACAAGTGACCGGAGGGATAAGGTGTTTGTTGAAAGAAAATGATTTACTTTCTTTGTGGATTTGGAGTATGAAAACATGCTTGATTACTACAGTTTCTGTAAATGCATTGGTCTTCATTTTGTCATTTGCAAAAGAAGGCCTCATTTGGACAAGGTTCAGTGCCAGGCTGACAAGAAGAAAAACTTGAAGAAGAGAACAGGGCAGGAACCTAAACAAACATATGTTCAAGTAGGGAATATCATTAGAGACAAAGGCAAAACACCTATCGTGAGAGAGACAATAACATTAAAGATAAAGTGTTTTTAATCATTGTCAAATTTTGAATATCATAATTAAACCCCCTCTCGTGTTTGGATTTACTTGGTCATCAAGGTGGTCATGGAAAATACTCATTTGGAGGTGGTAGGTCCAACTTTAGAGTTCAAATAGGTAGGTGTTGATTCTTCTTCATATGAGAAGGAAGCTATGGCGGGTTTAACAATAGTTCTAGGCTTCAATGTCAAGTTTCTTACAAAATAGGTCACGTTACACTATACTTTTGATAGAGGTTTGATGTTCAATATCAAAATCCAACAACAACCCCAACATCATCCAACGAAGGATCCATTGAAATTCATCATCCATTGTGACACTCATGGAAATTCCTGACACATTCAATAATTCTAGTTGGTATCCCAACTCAAGATCCACAAATCACGCTAAATCCTCAAATATTCAAAGAAACAATACTTACCATGGATAACAAAAGATCAAAATGGCTAATGGTAACTTAGCTTCCATTCATCTTATCAATAACACCTTATCTGACACTCAACATTTCTTCAAACCTTTAATTTTACTAATCTTATGCATGCTCCCAATATTGTTAAAAAGTAATAAATGGTTTTGAATTTGCTAAGAATAAAGGTGTTTTCTTTGAATTTCATGTTAATTATTGTCTTTTTAGATATTAGGTTAGAAAGAAAATTCTTCATGCATGAATTCTATATTTTGACATGCTTAAGATGACCATTCTTTTTAAAATACCAATGTTAAATGTAACTCCTTTCTTTTGAATAATTCTAATGACTTAAGCAACGTTAAGTGGCATGCTAGGTTAGGACATACCTCAAACAAAATTATTTCAACTTCTTTAACCAGTTGTAATATTCATCACAACATCTATAATATAAGTTATGTATGCATAATATGTTGTCTTGGTAAATCTCATAAGCAACCCTTTTCTAGCTTAGCTTCCTCTTATGATCAATCCCTTCAATTGATATATTAGGATATTTGGGATCCCTCCCATATCAAATCCAATAGTAATAATTACATTCATTTCATTTATGCTTTTTCTAAATATACTTGGATATACTTCTGAAAAATAATCTTATGATTTATCAAGAATGTCTTCACTGATAATCATAGTTTTAAAAAACTATCATATTCCACCTAAAGAAGAGTATACTTCACTTGAAGGTAAAACACTTCAAGAATTTTCACATGTAGAAAACTAAGTTGAAATATTATGGTGCAACTAAGAACAATCATCCCCTGATTGAACCAAAAACTCTGATATCAGTTGTTAGGAAAAAAACAAACAAAGCATAGCATAGACAAAAAAAGAGGAACACGATAAAGATAACATAGAAACTCCAAAACTGAAGAAAAAACTATGGATGTTGTCAATAGACAACCAGAGAATAACACTATATGAAAATGTTACAACACATAATATACCTTCAACTAACCTAGGCCCTTAATATACCTACACTCTCAAAAACAACTACATCTCCAACACTCTAATACAAGAGTATAAGAGAGCAAAGTAAGTCAAATACAAGCTTAAAGTGATTTTGGATGGTGCGTCTTGGAATGAAGAACTTGTATTCTATATCATTTCTTTCACAAAATTAAGCGATGTGGGACTTCAAAAAACTTGTATTCTATATATAGCCTTGGACTCTCTCTTTATTCACAAAACTAAGCGATGTGGGACTTCTTCAACATGTATATGTTTAACCAACCCCAACAACCCCGATACACATGAACAAAATTGATCTGTTAAAAAAAAAAGGTATAAAAACATAACTAAAGTTGACATCATGCTTTTAGCTAATGTATATATGCCTCTTAGCCTTCAAGACAATAGTCATAATCATAAACAGGTTACCTATACCATCTTAAATTATTCTTCTCCATTTGAAACTATTTTCCATAAAGATCTTGATTACCATGCATTCAAAATCTTTGGTTGTCCATGTTTTACCTATTTTAGACCATATTATAAGCATAAGTTTAACTTTACATATGAACAAAGTGTCTTCTTAAGGTACATTCCTAACCATAAAGCCTAAATTTTCTTATCAAACTCTAGTAGACTTTATATTTGTAGACATGTCAAATTTGATGAAACTTCTTTTTCTTTTCAAAAGAATCCTAATTTGCATAGCCACAAAACTCATATGCCAATCAATGGTTCAATTGAGGTTGATTATGTTCAAGATATTCTAATAATATCATGCCAAAATAGATTTGATCCTCTTGTCACTAAAGATAATGTTTATATTTTGCATAACACAACACATAATGAGGGCATTTGTGACGAATCCAACTCTGACCATCACATATAGGACACTATTGAATCATCAAACTCTCCGCCATATTCAAGTTTCATTCAAGAAACACCTAATTTATTATTTTCTCACCAGTGTTAACCTTATCACATTAGTTCAACTACTCCCCTTGGAAAATTTAACATTCCTCATCAGTTCACTATCAATCCTATCGGTCCTTGCATCGTCAATGATCATAGCATGAGCACAGAAGGCAAATGTAGAATTTTATAGCCAAAAACTCATATAGCTTCTTCTTTAAGTAACCTAATTGCAGAACCTAAGTCATTAAAAAGAACTCTCAACTCAACCAATTGGAAGAAAGTCATGGAAGACAAGTATGATGCTCTAATCCAAAACAAACTTTGGCACCTTGTTCTCCCCAATGCCAAACTGCAACATCATTAGCTGCAAGTGGGTTTTCAGAACCAAATACACTCATGACGACACTATCTTTAAATACAAAGACGGACTTGTTGCAAAGGGCTTCTATCAACAAGAAGATATGGTTTTTTATAAAAATTTAGCTCTATCATAAATCCAATTAACATAAGATTCATTCAAACCTTATCTTTCTCCAAGAATTGACCAATCAAGCAAATAGACATCAAGAATGTCTTTCTAAATGGTGTCCTCAATGAATCTATTTATATGGCTCAATCACTCGGATTTATCAAAGGCTCCACATATACCTTACTTTGCAAGCTTTAAAACATATCTCTATGGTTTGAAATATGCCTCTCGTGTTTGGTTTCAAAACCTGATATCTAGTCCATAAAAAGTAACATTTTCTTATTTACTAAAGTAA